ACACACACACACACACACACACACACACACACACACAAACACTGAAAAACAAAAGAAAAACAACATTGTTTCAAAATATTTTTGGTGCTGTTTATTGTTTTGTAAATATGGGCTTATCATTTAAGGTTCATGCATCATTTATCATTTATTCATGCATTGCACCATATAATGCAATCTAACATTTGTTGATTTAATGATAGTAATACATATATACATACTGTCAGGATTATGGATCGTCATAATGCATATCTGTGTTGTGTTTTCCCTCCCCATGTGCTTCCCCGACCTAGTTTCTCCCGTTTCATGACCTTATTTGGTCCTTCCTGTTCCTGTTCGTATTGGTTCCCATTTGATTCAGCTGTGTTTCCTCAATTATCTCATTTGGTTCTTAGTATTTAAGCACTGTGTTTGCCTGTGTTCCCTGTCCGGTATTGTGAATGTCTTCTTGAATGTGAACGTCTCCTGCGTCTCCGTGTTCTCTTTGCCCCACGCTACTCACAGTAGCGCAGTCATGACAGAATACCAGATCTACAACAGTAAAACAAAAAGTAGTTGCGTGTTTTCCCCTCTGTTTTGTTTCCGTGTTTTGTTCAGTGTTATTTTTTCCTCCCGCTGTTTCCCTATGGATCCTCTCACTCGCCCGGAATACCTCCTCCTCCTGCTGGATCAGGGGGAAAGATCGCTCGAGGACCATACCAGACTTTTTCTGGCCCTCACCCATCTCACCAGCTACCCGGACGACGCCATGGCCTCCTGAGCTCCCTGCTCCGCCATGGCCCCCTGAACTGCCTGATCCGCCCTGGAGGCCTTCCTTGTCTCTAGCCTGCACCACCCTCCAGGACGTCCAGGATGAACTTCTGTTCCCTGATATCTAAGGTGACAAGTGCCGAAATGGAAAGCTTTGTCCCACTTCCTGTAAGACAAAAGCAGTGTCCTACACTTTTTTTCTGTATTATTATTATTTCTGTTTCATTTTATTTCATCCTCCCAATAAAACCAACAAAGTTAATAAAAAAACCAACAATAATAATTAAAAATAACATGTGCAGTGCAGCCATTATTGTGTTATGCCAGAATGGGATATATATATATATATTGTTTGTTTGTTTCTTTTTTATTATTTATTTATTCTATTCTTTTTTTGACGCTTAAAATCGGCAGCGTGAATGAATCACCAAGGACAATGGTTTCACCTAAAAATCTTCTTTACTGTTCTACTGAAGAAAAAAAGTCACCTACAGCTTGGATGGCCTCAGGGAAAGTAAATTAACAGCACATTTTCATTTTTGGATGAACTATCCATTTAAACCTCTTTACGACAGTAATTGTATGTCTAAAGTACAGTCATCTGCAGCTGATCTTCTTCTTTATAAATCTCTTTCTTTAGCAAGGCACAAGCGCTTTTAATAAAAGACTATTTAAATAGCTGAAAGAGAATTAGTTTAACAAGAGTCAAGAGTTAAGTCCCACTATAGTAACCATATTACCATAATAGTGACTTCAACCCATTTCTTTCTTCAATAAAACATCAAGTCAAACTTGTTTGTAATAAGTGAAAATGGCAATGCTGTTTTTGGAGCTGTTGAGTCAACCTGTGGTAAGAACTTGAGAGATTTAATGTGCTCTTTTATTTGTAGTTGATTCTTTTTATGGATGGATCCATGACTGATTCTGTATTTGGCTCATTTTTGGGGTTTCTGGATAAAACTGGTGCTGATATGGTTTAAGGCTAAGATTCGGTACCACTATTAAAGCTTATTCTGGCCTAGTTCAAGGCTGGTTATTGGGAATTTATGTGTACCGTCGAATGTGTCTTTCAAAGTATACTTCATTTGATAGCGTGTGTGAATGCAGGCAGTCGACATATGTGCTCTGTAAAGTTTTATCTTTATCCAGTGCCTTGCACTATTTTTCTCCAGAATTTATGACCGAAAAATATCTTTGATAAAGATTGTCATCTAAAATCGTCAAAAATCTCATAACCTTCTCTCACACAAGTGCTTGTCAGTGCGGGTGTCTCATAGTCACTGGTATTTTGTTTTTGTTGTCCTTCTGTCTTTTTAGTTTCATTTTCCTCTGTGACACTACGGCCAGGGCCAGTGTTGCCACTTTATGGAACAACCTTGTGGTACAAATTTATGCATGGTACAGTACGTGCAAACTATTCTGGATGATAACATTGTACGCGGACCGTATGTGACATTGTATGCACTGTACGTGGACACTTACATACACGTAAAAAACAAATATACTTTGGGCTTTATCCTAAGTGTTACATTTTGGCAAGTGACTTGTCCTACACATTTATGCTATAGATGAAACTCAAATCATGTGTCTTGTTGAGAGGAGGTGAAGACTTCAGCAACGTGTCAACAAGTTTTATATACGAGCAAGCTCCATTTAAATATTGAAGCTACTTCAAATGTAAAAATCTAGTTAAATTTTTTACAATTTTTTACATTTGCTACTATTAAGTCTAACACATCTCCAGTGGTTTCATGTTTTCTGTTTTAGTGTCTTACTCATTCAGATGGTGCACATCCAAATCATTATGTAATGATAAAACATTTGGAGAAAATCCATCTTACTATAAGATGTTTCAGGTTATACAGACTATGGATATCGTTTTTAAAAGCACTTTTAAGTGGTTGGGTGTTTGCAGAGTGTGTAAAACCACATGCTAACACATTGCTCAGCTGTTCTGAGTACACGTGCAATGCTGAGCATGTTTTTCTTTAAACTGGATATTTATTGGCATAGGTGTTTTTTTTGTTGTTGCTCCATTAAAGCACTATGAAGTTCATATTGCAGTGCTGCAACATTGTTTTTTCATTCACA